TTCATCGTCACTTATAATGCCAACGTAGTCTTCGACAAACATAGCATGCACCACGAAAACGGAAACAATGCTGATAAAAAACCTGGAATTCAAACTTTTCAAAAGATTCGAGCATTAGATGTGGTCAGACTCACCATGAAAGCTAAAGAATCAAAACGTTTGCGATCAGGGGTCAGTGAGGAGATAAATTACGACGACAGTCAAAGCTGCGTAGCAAGAGTTGTCGCGTGCTACACAAGTATACCGCGGGTCAAAACGAAACAACTCATCACTGTTTCGACCGATTGTTCCGAACTACAAGGTAGGCCCATTTTTTCATGAAGTTCTCAATGGAGTTGCTTAAAGAAATTATTGACTAGTTTCGAGCATCAACGTCCATCAAAGGGGCTCGGATTCAATAAGGCGCACAGGCCATTTTTTGTCAAAACTGTGATTAGTTCGGCTCGTTGGACTTTGGAAGGACCACTTCAAGTTGGAATGAATAGGTACATCAACTATCAGCACTGCAGGGATTGCAGTGCAATTTTATGGACAAGTGACTGTATAATCGGTGTACTACAGAATACCGTACATAAATATTGTAGCATCAATTAAAAGGATGCAGCAAGTTGAGGCATAAAAAAGTCGTTTTGCATGGAAATAGTGGATACTCACATAAAGAACGCAGCCGTCGTGTACACGTTGAAAAGGAGCGGTCCCACGTAGAACCCAGTATTCCCAAGTGGAATAAAACAAATCTGCAAACAAACCATACGTCATACGTAAATTTTTTGCTGAAGTAATAGAGTAGTGCTTGCAAGTACCTGAATGGCAGGCCCAATAGAAAGTCCTGTAGTAAGACCAGCTGTCCCCAAGGATACTGCTCGTATTCGGCCTGCTCCGAGTACTGGCAGTGGCAATGAAACTGCGCAGCACTCCCAAGGTACCTTGAGTTGAATACAATTATGCACGTCTCTGTGATGTCAGCGCGATGGCATCAAAAACTCTAATTATACATTAATAATGCATATGATTAAATCTATGGTCATGGTAGGATGAAGTTAGCGATATCGAGTAGCTACTACATACTCAGAGTGTACCACCAGGGTCAAACGTGTAAGAGGATCCTACTATATATAATCGGCTAAGCGGTTGTGTGTGTGTGTGTCTGACCGGAAATTCATAACTTCGTTCCCTTTGGACCCAGAGCGCTCAAACTTCTAGGATATATAGGGGGCCGGACGTGAACACTGATGATGGGTGGCGGGAAGTGATAACTACTGATAGGAGCTGATAACGGACGTCGAAATGTTGATGTCACCAATTTCGTTACGCCGTTCGCGTTGACAGTGGAGAGTTTGCACTCATGAATATTATGTGGGGTAGGACTGGACCCAAATGGTGAGCGAATAAAGTGATAGCAAGTGATAAGAGCTGATAATGGGTATCGGAATGCCAACGCCATCAGTTTTGTCAAGCCCTTCGCATTGACAGTAAGACGTTCGCACTCATGAATTTTATGTGAGGTGAGGCGGGGACCAAGGTGAGTGGAGAAAGTGGTAGCAACTGATAAGAACTGATAAGGGGCGTCAAAGTGTGGATACCACCAGTTTCGTTGCGGCCTTCGCGGTGACATTGGAACCTTGGCTCTCACATGTGGTATAGGGGATGGGACGGGGACACCGATGTGAGCAGTATGAACTGATAATAAATGATAAGGAATGATAAGAGCGTCTGAATGCAGGTCTCTCCAACTTCGTTGCAATTATCACTGGCAAGCGATCAAGGTCAGAGGTTGAATGTAGGTGACAGAAAGTGGTATGAGCGGCAACTGTACTGATAAAAGTAGACAAATTGAGTGTGCACTCAGTTGAAGCTAAACCAGGTCCTTAGCACGTGAATATGCAATTCCTACCAAAAGAAGCAAGGATGTCGCCGCTCAATTAACTGAACCTGGACCAGTGACGGATTTCCATCAGAACTAGGTTGCTGATTGATTATTTATATTTCACTCCAACGCCGAAACTCAAAGTAGAAATTCTATAAACCGCTAATTCATTCGAGCTCGACATCAATGCTAAATGTTTACGAAGTTATGATAAGTACCAGTTTCATTCCGCATGGTTCTGCGCGGACGCGATAACCTTCTGCGAAATGACCT